ACCATCAAAAGGATGGCTAAAGAATTAAGCACCTTTGTCTCACAATTCACTTCATCAGCCTTCCGAAGGGGGGCTTGTCCATTAAATGGAAAACAATTTGCATTTCCAGCACAAAGGATGCTCTCTGCCTGGTGGGCTTCCAGCCTCTCCTTAATTGTGCCATTTCTCTCAAGAGCCATAGACCTTGAAAAGGTTCCGTAAGAAGTGGTCTGGGCCAGGAGGGGGGCCCCAGAGAACACTCGGTTGTCTGGGCGGGCATTGTTCTCTTTGTCTGCTTGAACAGGACTCAATCTTATTTCCAAAATGTCCAGGCTGACAGGCTCCATACATGGGTTTTGCTGCCCGCTTTTCAGAAAGTTAAGCTGCAAAAGCCTCCCTGTCCCAGAATTCACCGCCTGAAGCAGGACGGCCGCTGTGTGATGAATGGGCCTTGTTTTCCGTCTACTGTATGTTGGGGCCTGGGTCAAGGAAGGTGCTTGTAGCTGCTAATCTACAACGGGTGGTGGGAACGCGAGGCGAGACAGGGCTTCCTCTGTGTGGCAGAGAACAAAAGAAAGGACTTGAATTCAGGTGCTCAAGGACTGAAAACGGTGTGAAAAATAGGGTGAGCAGTGGCTTCAGAGGTAGGCAGAGCAGACCCGCGCTCGTCTACCCCGGGCCCATCCCTCTCCACAATTTTTTTCCCACCTCCTTCAAGTAACGTTTGAAATTCCTTTAACAAGAAGCAAAGTCACTCCTGCCACTCTAAACATAAATACAGATTAGGCTAAAATGTAATTCCAGATGGGCTTCCCGAAAGATGGGGAAGACGCGCTGTTCCCTATTCCCACCACTAAGTGCAACTAAAAAAACCTGAGCATAATACACGAAGCAACCCTAAGGAGACTCCGAAACAGGGAGCCAAGGTCAGCTAGGGCCCTTGACACCCAAGGAGTGGCAGTGGTGACTTCCCAGGCTTTCTCTTTGCCTCACGTACTTCAGACGCTGCTGGAGAAGCTGGCAATTCAGAAATGCCGACAGGCACAGATGTAAAAAGTCCCAACAAAGGCCTGCTGTCCCCAGTCAGAGGACCAGAAAAGGGGAAGCCCAGCAAGACAGAAAACTGTTAGACAGTAACTGCTCTACGACAAGCAAACACCTGGGGGGTCGGGAGGATGGCCCCATCCACACCCCTGCCAGTGAAGGCTGGGTGGGGAGCCCAGACTTCTGCCCTGATAAGACTTCAGGGCTAGGAGCCTCCACGCCCCCTGCCAGGGTGGCATCAGAGGAAGTGGAGAGCTGCGACTTTCATTCCTGCTCAGTGTCCGCGAAAACCTGAATTTCCACTCCCAGCGGCAGTCACAGGCACTCTCCCTCTATCCCTGCTCCATTTGTCTGGGATGATAACAGGAGAGCCCGTGGGAGCCCGGACTTTCACCATCCCCCAGTGGTAATAAGGCCACCTCCCTCAAGTGTCACTGGAGGCCCTGTGGAGAGCAGTAAAGAGATGTCGCTGCCCCTCTCAGCCAGAATGGTATCAGCAGAGGCGTAGGAAGGCCCCAGAACTCCCAACCCCAGCCAGCCGCCGTGAGGAAGCCGCACCTTCCAAGCAGAGAACCTGGGCCTCCCCGCAGACCAGGTAGGAGCAAGTCAGCACCCTCGCTTCCCTCTGACAAAGCCATGTCAGTATGGACAAAAGATTTAATAAGATCCAGAGTCTTATAACACAAAACCCAAAATGTCCAAAATTCAACTGAAAATCACTCATCATACAAAGAATCAGGAAGAGCCCAATCTGATGAGAAAAGACAAGCAACAGATGTCAACACTGAGATGATACAGATGTTAGAATTATCTGACAAGAGTCAAAAGCCTAAAAATGCTTCCACAGGCCACTATGAACTCATGAAAAACAACTTAAAAAATAGAAAGTTTCACCAAAGAAATAGAAGATGTAAAGACGAGCAAAATAAAAAGTTTTGAACTAAAAAACCATAATAACCAAAATTAAAAACTCAGTGGATGGGCTTAATTTTAGAATGAATGAGACTAAGAAAAGGTTCAGTGAACTTGAAGATAAAACAGTAAAAATTACCCAATCTAAGCAACAGAGAAAAAAATGCACTGAAAAAATGGAAGAGAATCTCAGACCCATTGAACTATAAAAAGATCAAACATTCATGTCATTGGAGTGTCAGAAAAAAAGAGGGAAGGACTGAAACGTATTTGAAGAAATAATGGGTAAAAGTTTTCAAAATTCATGAAAAGACTTAAACCTACCGATTCAGGAGGCTCAGGAAAGCCCAAACAGGATAAAGCCAGATAAATCCACATTGAAAAGCATCCTAACTACACTTTTGAAAACTAAATACAAAGCAGTCTTGAAAGCAAATGAAAGAGGAATCTTATACAATATAAGGTTATACATATAACCGTATATAATTAATAATAAATACATTATTTATTGGAGGAAAGCAACTCAAGTAACACCAGATTTCTCATCAGAAATCAAAAGAAGGTATTTTTTTAAAAAGATAATGCTTTGCCGGGCTCGGTGGCTCGGCTTGTGATCCCGCGCTTTGGGAGGCTGAGGTGAGTGGATTGCCTGAGCCCGTGGGTTCGAGACCCGCCTGGGCAACTTGGTGAGATCTCATCTCTACAATAAATCAAAAAATCAGCCGGGCATGGTAGCCCGTGCCTGTAATTCCGGCTACTCCAAAGGCTGAGGCGGAAGGATCGCCAGAGCCCAGCGAGTTGAGGCTGCAGTGACCGGGAGTGGCCACTACACTCCAGTCAGGGTGACGGAGTGAGACTCCAACTCAAACAAAAAAACAAAGCAAAACAAAACAAAAGATAATGCTTTCTTTTACTCTTAATTAGTTTGTGTTAGACTGACATAAATATGACCAGTAGATGTTTTGATTAAGCTCAGATTATAGTAGAAAAATAAATGTGAGTCCTCTGTATAGGCCGGGTGCAGTAGCCCATGCCTGTGATCCCAGCAATTTGGAAGGCCAAGGAGGGAGAATTACTTGAGCCCAGGAATTCAAGACCAGCTTGGGCAACATAGTGAAATCTTGTCCCTCCAAAAACTCAAAAAATTAATCAAGCATGGTAGCATGCCCTCATAGTCCCAGCTACTCAGGAGGCTGAGGTGGAAGGATCACCTCAGCCCAGGAAGTCTCTCTCAGCTGTGGTGAACTGTGATCATGCCTCTGTACTCCAACCTGGACATCAGGGTGTCCCGCGGTAATCATGCCACTGCACTCCAGTCTGGGTAACAGCGTGAGACCCTGACTCCAAAAAAAAAAAAAAAAAAAATACCATAGAGGCCAGAAGGAAGTGACACGGTAGTTTTCAAGTGCTGAAAGGAAAGGATTGTCAACTGCAAACCCTCTATCCAGGGAAACTATCTTTCAGTAATAAAGGGAAAATCCGAAGACATTCTGCATGAAGAAAAACAAAGATAATTTGTTGCCATCAGAACTCTCTAGAAGAATAGCTAACGGAAGTTCTCTAAACAAAAAGAGAATGACAAAAGAAGGAACCTTGGAACACTGGGAAGGAAGAAAGAACAACAAAAGAGAAACATGGGTAAGTACAATACATTTTCCATCTCTGTGATGGTTAATTTTATGTGTCAATTTGGCTAGGCCATAGTACCCAGTTATTTAATCAAACATTATTCTATGTGTTTCTGTGAAGATACTTTTAGATGAGATTAACTTAAATTAGTAGACTTTGAGTAGAGCATATTACCTTTTATAGTGTGAGTGGGCCTCGTCTAATCAGCTGAAGGCCTTAATGAAATAAGACTGACCTTCCTGGGAGAACAGGGAATCCTGCCAGCAGTTGGCCTGTGAACTTGAACTGCAGCACGGCTCTTCCCTGGGACTCCAGTCTACTCTGTAGATTTTAGACACGCCAACCTCCATAACCATGTGTGCCAATTTCTTTAAATCTCATTCTGTCTCTCTTTCTCTGTCTCTGTCTCTGTCTCTCTCTCTCTCTCTCTGTTTCTCTCTGTGTGTCTGTCTCTCTCTCTCTCCCTCTCTCTTTCTCTCCTTCTGTCTCTGTCTCTCTCTCCTTCTCTGTCTCCGTCTCTCTCTCTCTGTCTCTCTCTCCCTCCTCTTTCTCCCCTTCCCCAGCTCTCTCTCCCTGTCTGTCTCTCTCTGTGTACACACACACACACACACACACACACACACACACACACACACACACACACACACGGTTCTGTTTTCCTGGAGAACCCTGATCAATATATTCTCAAAAAAATAAAAAGCGCCATATGTGAGAGAAAACAGTTTGAATATCTAGTGAGAACAAGGACACCGTGGAAAGCTTACTCTATGCAAATCAATTTGTCGGTTCATCCCATTTAACCCTCACAAAAGCCCAGGTGAGATTGTCATCAACTCCAATTCAGCGATGTGAGCATCAGGGACAGGGTCTGATCACACATACAACTGATCAATGCCCAACCTCGATCTCTTAACCATTATGGTCCCCAGCACCCAGACTCTTCACTGCTTACCTAGGAGCAGCAGTTAGCAGGGAGAGAAGAATGGGCTCTCCTTACTAAAAGGGATAGAAGCCTGCCTGGCCATGTTGCCCAGGCTGATCTCAATCTCCTGGCCTCAAGCAATCCTCCCCCCTCAGCCTCCCAAAATACTGGGATTACCGGCGTGAACCTCTGTGCCCGGCTTGATTTTTTAAAAAGGCATCCAGGGAGTGAGATTATGTAATTTTTGTATGAGCTGAATGTTTGTGCCCCCCCACCCCAAGTTCATATGTTAAAGTCCTAACCCCCAAGATGATGATATTTGGAGGTGAAGCCTTTCGGTAGTAATTTGGGTCATGAGAGATTTTTTAGTTTACTTTTCTATAGAAGATACTTTCCTTCTTCAATGAATGACTATTACTTTTACATTCAGAAAATGAGGATTTGGGGTGGATGTCACATGACTATGGTGTGTCCAATACAAGGGGAGGAGAAAGTCTCCCAGAGGATAACTTACTTCGAATGAGTATGCTTTCCCAATTCCATCTCCTGCTCCGGTGATCACTGCGAAAAGCAGAAATGGTTTTAAGTGCCAGAATCCATCTGTAAACTTCTCTTTCTCATTGGCTATATTTTCTTGCAAGCTGCATCTCCAGGATACTTAATCATCCCTTTGGCCTCCAGCCTCCATTCAACTATGGAGTTTCTAGCCCTCACTAAACATTCAAAATAATATCTTTTTTTTTTTTCCGGAGAGATTGGTAAAGCCATGGAAAACACATTCCAAAATGAAGCAAGGAACCACAGCCGAGAAACATTTCATTCAGGCCCCATTAGGATATAGATATCATAAACCCTAACTCCACAAGAGCGAGCAGTGTTCCCTGTTATCTCCCTTCCCACACCGTCGTCTGTCACAGGAAGGACATCTCAAGGTTCCTTCTAAGTGTCGAGTTACTCCCCTTGCCAGCCACATCCCAGGACAGCAGCCATCAAAGCCCATGGAAGTTAGGGAACTGAGCAAGGTGGAAAACACAAAAAGGAAAAGCAATAAAAGGAAGGAAGCTGAAGGATTTATACTCAACAGGACACTCTATTAATCTGAAACAATCAAATAGGTCTTCTCACCTTTTTTTAGCCAATATCACATGCATATTTAATGACTGAGCTCTGGGGTAAACCTCATTCATGTGAATGAGACAAGTTCAAAATTCACCACAATTCATTATATACATATGCACTTGCGATTTACCTTCGCACCAACAATTAAAAGGCAAGCTTTCTCAACAAGGATACCTGCATAATGAACATTTGTATACCTAACCCTGAATTGTATCCCACATCTTTAAAATAAAAAAAGGGAAGCTTCAAAAAGCGTGAACAAAAGATATATTTACCTTCCATGAGAGTGAGTGAGGGCCAACCAGGACAAGCTTCAAGCAGCATGCTGGCAGAGGCACTCTTGTTTTAGTAATTATGGTGTATAAGAATGCATCTGTCTTTGCACATTTATTTTGTACCCCGAGACTTTGCCAAAGTCTTTTATCAGCGCAAGCAGGTTTTTGACAGATTCTTTTGGATTTTAGAGGCGTAGGATCATATCGTCAGCAAACAAGATAACTTGACTTCCTCTTTTCCTATTTGGATGCCCTGTTTTCCTTCTCTTGTCTAATTGCCTTAGCTGGGACTTCCAACACTATGTTGAACAAGAGGGGTGAGAGTGGGCAGCCTTGTCTTGTTCCAGTTTTCAGGGGAAATGTTTCCAGTTTCTGTGCATTTAGCAATATGTTAGCTATCTGTTTATCGTAGATGGCATTTACTGTTTTAATAATCATGAATGATGTTGTCTGTTCATTGAGGAACTTTTAAGTGGATTGATTCATGTATACTCTCTGATCCTTTTGGCAGACGTTCAACGCTCAGGGCTATCTCGTGACTCACCTTACAGGGAATCTTCAAACTCACTCATTATACGGCCTTTCTTACGGTTAAGATAATAACACCAATAATAACTGGTAACTATCAAATGCTTACTTTCTGCCTTGTACTGTTTCAAGTGTTTTAGCAGCACCATCTCATTACAGACAAACTTATAGTGCAGGGACTATCATTTTCCTTAGTTTATAGACAAGGGAGCGAAGAGCAAGTAAGTTCTTAACTTGGTCAAGGCCACATTGCTAAAAATAAGGACAAAAGGATTTGAACTTAAGCTGTCTGACTTTGGGGCCCCAAGCCCATTAGACATGCTAATGAAATAATTTGAAAATCCAGTAACCAGAGCTCAGATTACTCTATCTGAGGATTTAAAGAACGTAGTCTCTAGTAATTGGAATTCCTTCTTGTCTACCACTTGGAATATATTATCTCCCCGATATCTGCCTATGCCCAGAGACATTTTATTCTTGCTAAAGGTAACTCCATTCCATCTTGACTCATAAAAATGAGTGAAGATTACGTTTTTTACTTTGAGTCAACAAATGCCCTAAACCTCTGGCCCCATTTGAACTTCTTTTAGAATGCAGATTCTTAGAGGGGCTTTCCTGTCCCCTCAGCACATGGGCATTTGAATGTCTGTGAACTGAAGTATTTAGACCCAGAACATGCGAACTTAAGCTGCTAAATTCACTGCAGACATCATAGCACCCTGAGGGAAGAAATACACACACACACACACACACAGCAAATTGTAAGAGACAACAGGTAGGGCCAGGCACAGTGGCTCCAACCCATAATCCCAGCCCTTCGGGAGGCTGAAGTCTTAGGGGTTCAAGTCCAGCCTAGGCAATATAGCAAGACCCTATCTCTACAAATAATAATAACCATAAAAAGAAAAAAAGAAGTATAAAGAAGCAGTAGGTTAAAAAATCCACTTGTCTTTTCCAACAATATCTCACATGGTAACTTTTTTTTAACTTCTATTGCTAAGTTTGTAAGGTTGTTAGGTTTAGCAAAGAAGAATGCAGAATGCCTAGGTAAGTTTGAATTTCAGGTTAATTATGAATTTTCCAGTATAAGTATGTCCCATGTGACATTTGGGTTATAACACACTAAAAAAAACTCCTTGTTTATCTGAAATTCAAATTTAACTGGGTATCCCATATTTTATTTGCCAGCCCTATAGGGTGTTACAATCTTTCCTATTTAGCCTTGATGGTTTCGTGAAGCCACTTGAAAAATTTTTTTTTGAGTCATCGGTTCTTTTGAGTGTCCAGCTTTGAAATATAAGCTGCTGCAAAGACTTTAGCATTTCATTCAAGATGATGCTGAAACCATAACCTCATGTCCTGCACTTTCACCTCAGTCATGGGGCTGAAACTCCACGTGGTGTCTCCAAAGGATAAGTCCCCTTGGGAGGCAGCATTTAATCGACACAAACCAGACCTCAATTCCGTACCCACCCATCTTGAAAACATGTCACCATGATCTTGTAACACCTTCCCTTCATAAAAGTACTTGGGCCGTTAAAAAAAAAAAGTAAAGTGAATTAAAAGTCTTTGGATTTCAAAATTCGGAAACACTCTTTAGCAACATGGAAGTACCTTGAGCTTTTCGTAAATATGGAGATGAGGATGCAGAAACTGCTACCTTATCTAATATTTGTACCATCAGAAGACTCCAGAAAGAAGGCAACCCAGCTAACGAGGTTGAGAGGGCAAACTTGTGGCACGAGTTGAGTAGTCTTCTTTCGGAGGCCTCCTGGCAATCCCCCACATCTTGTGCTTCAGACGAGTTGAATTCACTCATCCTTTCTAACTTCTCAAGCTAAAATCACCCAAAGGAATCGCATCTTTGCTCTCAAAGACAACAGATGCCATATCTCTTTTTAGACATAAATACCAAGAAGCAGGCACAACAAAAAAAGCAAGAGATGGAACGCTCCCCTTACCTGCCCACTGTCCCATGGACCGCAAGAAAGGCCTTGGCAAAACTTTGCAGTAGTTCAGTAAAAGGTATCTGGAGAATCTCACACACTTCACCAGGCAGACCAGGCACACCAGCAGCCCTACAGAAATGAAGACCTGTTCCAGAATCTCCCCCATGGCCGCACTACACAGATGCTCTTCCAGACCTGGCCCTGGCCTTCTGTGCATGCCTCCCGGAGACAGGCTGCTCCAGAGTCTTCGGACCTCCTTCAGGGAGTCACTGGGTGCATTCCATTAAGTCAGAGGCACTAGATTAGAGTAACTTTTTTCACATAATCCTCTGATTCACAGGCTTTTGCATACGACTTTTGTTACCATGGAGGAGCTGATAAAGAAGGGAAAGGTGGACATGAAGAAAGAAAAACAAAGCCTGGGCACATTTGAAAATGGCAGCCTAGGGTTCTCTCTAGATCTGGAAACTAAAAAGAATGCAAAATCCAAGTCATTCATTCATTTATTCGACAAGTAGTTATTGACTGCCTACTGATTTGTCCCCTGTTCAAGGCATTGGGCAAACAATATTAGCCAAGACAGGGTCTCTCCGTAGGGGAGAGAGGCGATGAGCAAATAAATAAGACAATGTCGAATATAAATGCTGCGAAAGAAGTTATTGAGCTGTGTGTTTGAGTAACTACTCAGGGAATGCTTCCGAAAGAGTGTTCAGGAAGGAATTCTGAGAAGACGTGGCATTTTTTAGTTGAAATTGGAATGAAAAGAAGGAGCCAGCCTGCAAAGATGAGGTTCTCCCTCTAAGTTGATGGAACAGCTAGCAATGTCTTTGAAAGTAGAACGGTCAATGTATTTGAGGAAGAGGAACTAGAACTACACAGCAGGGGGACTGGTCTGCAGAGAGCAAGGGAGAGAGAAAAGGCTAGAGGAAGAGGGAGGAGCCAGGTCCTCTTGGAGAGGAGTTTGTATTTTCACCCAAGAGCAACAGGAAACCACTGAAGAGGCTTAGAATATGGAGTTATGCCTTCAAAAGCTCACTCGATGCTGAGAGAAGATGGCTGAGACGGGTTGGGGGGTGGGGGTGGCAACCAAAGCCAAAAACAGTATGATGTCACCCATAAAGAGTGCCCAAAAGTCAGCCCTTGGCCTTCTGCTCTTCACTATCTCTGCTCATGCCTTTGGTGATGCTATCCAGCCTCTTGACTTTAAGGGTCCCCTGTATGCCGAGGACCCCCTAACTTAGAATTTCAACTGGTTGCCTTCCTGCCCACTGGAAACCTTCATTAGAGCACCTAATCGCTGTTATGAACTTGTCATTACTCTTAAGCCTTAATAGGACAAAACTAGAAAATACTTTCTTAAGTGAATATACCTGATGAGGCATTCAAATTTAGGATTCTATGAGTTTTACTTAAGGGTTTTGATTTTCTATTTGGATTGTTTTTCTCTAATACTGAAAATCTTCATTTTACCAACACATTTCTTTTGAACTCTGGGTGTGTATATGTGTTTCTTTTGCTTTCATTTTTTTTAGAGATTGATTTTTTTTTATTCTTTGTAATTTAATTTTGTTTTATAAATGTGTAGATTTACATGGTTTGAAAGTCAAATTTACAAAAGAAAGTGCATTATTCATAAAAGTCTTGAGTCTATGTTTATGCTATTCACTCTGTTCACATCATTGCCCTGTAGGCAAACTTATGCTTTTATTCATATTTGGTTATTCGTTCATTTTTTAATATACACATTTATACTCATGTGAATATATATTCACATACATGCATTCACATATGTACCTACACACAAGTCATTACATACATATTCTATATAATCCACAAATATGTATATATACACCCATACATACATACATACACACTTTTATATCCTCTATTTTTTAAGATAAACAGCGAGAAAAAACACTTGTTGATACCTTGTTCTATTTTACATAACAATCGAGTCTGTAATCACCCCACAGTAGCATATAGAGATAGTCTCATTTTGTTCTTTTTACACCTATGTGGTACTCTATTGCCTGGATATACCACATTCATGGAAACCCTGTGCATAATCTTTGAATTATTTCCAGTCTTTTGCTATGACAAATAGTGCTGCAATAAGTAGCTCTATGCATTCACCCTAGAAGAAGAATTGCTGGGTCATATGTCTTTATGTAGATATTATCACATTTTTCTCCATTTTGCATTTATGCCAACAATGTATGAGGGTGTTTGATTTTCCACTGATAGCAATAGAGTATGTTGCCAAGTTTTGGAATTTTTTTCCAGCTATAGGTGGGAAATAAACATCCAATGTTGTTTTAATTTTAAACTATCTTATTGGCAAGATTGAAGATATTTTCATAAATCTAAAGGTCATTTGCAATGTTTGTCTCTGTGAATTTTCTCTTTCTAGCTCCTGCCCTATTTCTATGTGGTTTTTGACCTTTCCCTTTTCTGTATTTAGAGATTTTTTCAGAATTCTCATTAGACAGACATTAGACTTTCTCACTCAGTGTCCTTCTTTATTAATTATCTCTTTAGAAGTGTCTGATCGTTGTTAAAGCAGTTCATTGTCATTTTTATTTTAATAATCTTAATTTCATTTATGAAAGTTGCTTTCCTTTTCTCCAAAACTGAGGATTTTCTCTCATAGTTTTATGTTCTATGCAGATATTTTTAATTTTGACTTTCCTTACCTTAGCATAATTTTCTTATAATCTGACTTTAACAGTTCCAATACCTGAATCATTCTTTGTGTTTCTATCTTGTCTTTCAGCTACACTCATGGTGCCCTGTTTCCTTGTGCACTTTGTAATTTTCACCTTTGTGCATCTCATCTTGCTTGGAAATTTCTCTATGGTATTTTCTGATGAAGCTATGTTTCTCCATAGAGGACCTGAGTTTGCTTCTACCAGGTGCTCACTAGAAGTTTGGACTAACTTAAATCAAATTCTTGGCTCTATTTTTGTTTTTTAAACCACTCGGGTGAAGTGAAATTGGTCTGCCAAGACACAGCATGCTGTCCTGTGTTGATAGATCCACAAGAGGGTTCCCTTGCCATCTCTACCCACCACCACCTGCTCTGCTCCATGCCAAGGCTAATTTCCTTAGAATCCAGGAGCATGTTTATTCTGGACCACTCTCACATCTGAGGATGTAAGGCTTTGGTGATGCCAGTTTTATGGAGAGATTTTTTTTAGGCTTTTTCTGACTTTTTTTTTTAAAGACAGGATCTCACTCTGTTACCCAGGCTAGCGTGCCTCAAATTCCTAGGCTCAAATGATCCTCCCACATCAGTCTACGGAGTGGCTGGGACTACAAGCACACACCATCATGCCCAGCTAAATTTTTTTTGGTAGATATTGGGTCCCACTATGTCGCCCAGGCTGGTCTCGAACACCTGGCCTCATGCAATTCTCCCACCTCGGCCTTCCAAAGCACTGAAATCACAGGCATGAGCCTGGCCTGGCCATTGATTTCTGACCCCATACCATCAACAGTGAAGTTCATATTTGCTCCATTCAGCAAATGTAGGGCTAACATGGTATTAGTGCTCAATTTACCTCTCTGCATTGCTGCTATCTCTTATACTGGAATTTTGGGCTATTTTGATAGGTTTGGACACTTTGAATAAGATTTTTAAGAATATCTCTTCTACCAACAAAGACATGGGTGAATCTCACATCTTGTTGAGCAAAAGAAACCAGACACAGAAAAGTATTGCATTGGTTATTTATTTTGTACAGCAAATTAACCCACAACCTAGTGGCTAAAAACAATGCCATTCATTATCTCATGATTTCTGTGGGTCAGGACTAAGGACATGGATCAGCTAGATCATCTGGTTCAAGGTCTTTCACAGGTAGCAATAAAGGTGCAGCCAAGGTTGCAGTCATCTCAAGGTTCAACTCAAGAAACATCCTCTCACTCACATGTTTGTTGCTGGGTTTCATCACTACCTCGGCTGTTACTTGCTACATGGGCAAAGGGAAGCTCACCAAAGGGCAGCTTGCATCATCAGATCAGGCAAATGAAAAGAGTCAAATAGGGAGAGAAAGCCAGAAGCCACACTTATTTGTAATTTAATCTTGGAAAGGCTACTCAATCACTTTAGCAGTATTCTCTGCATTGGATGCAAATTCCTAGCTCCAGCCCACATTCAAAGGAAGGAGATCACACAAGGAAGTGATATGAGAGGTGAGGATTGTTGCTATCCACTCCAGAAGCTGCCTACTATACATACATAATATATGGTCTAATTCATAGAAAGTTCAAGAGCAGACAGACCAAATTTTTAGTAGATTAAAACACTTTGTGTAATAGAGATGCAGAGATTGACTGGAAAGGTCATGAAGAAATTTTCCAGTTGATGAAGACGTTATGTATTTTGATAAGTGATATGTTCATGAGGGCATGCCTTAATCAAAACATATCATACACTTAAGGTCTGTATAACTTACTGCATGCAAATTCTATCTCAATTTTAAATAATATTTATCCTGCGGTTATTCTTTGTGTGGTGGATAACTTAGACTTCCATTACCAGAACTGGAAATAGCAATTCACTTTTGTGCTTGGTCAGAGACCAAGATTTCGCCACCTTTAATTTTCAAAATCAAAAAAATATATTCAATCCCATGTAATAGACTGAGAAATTATATACCAACATCTGACTATGAATTCAAAAAAACTTTTAAGTTCATTTGTAGATTAGGATTTACAAGATGCTATAGACTGAATCAGGATGCCCCATAAACTTCAAATGTTGAAACTCTAGCCCACAATGTCATGATATTTGAAGTAGAGACTTGGAGAGATGATCTGACCATGTGGTAGAGCCCTTGTGATGGGGTTAGTGCCCTTATAAGAAGATACACACAAGATATCTCTCTCTCTCTCTCTCTCTCTCTCTCCCCCCCCCCCCCCCCCCCCGCCGTGTGGACATAGCAAGAAGACAATCATCTGCAAGGCAGGAAAAGAGCCCCCACCAGAAATCAGATTGGCCAGCATCACGATCTTGGACTCCTCATCTCCAGAACTGTGAGAAATAAATTTCTGTTGTGTGAGTCACCTAGTCTGTTGTCCTTAGTTATAGCAGCCCAAGCTGACACAAGAATACCTTGGAGCATTTGAAAACTACATTCTTCAATGTGGAGACATGTTGTTTTT